TGATTATTTGGTATGGGCATTTCAAGCTTCAGTTGGCTTAACCGAATAAAGCAAACCAATCCCCAACACCGATAAACTGTCTAAACTAGAATTATTTTATAACAAATGGATATTTCACTCTTCCATAAGGGAATGGGACGACATGGTTCTTCAGCTAGCGGAACCCAGAAGTAGCATCAAGTTCCCTTTATTTATGTAACACGCTTATTCCACGGGGATGCCTAAATCACCTCACCACGGTAAGATTCACCACATTGCGGCCATTTTTCCCTTACTACAATCATTTTTATCACGGAGCACCAATTCCCACTCGCGGACAATTTTGGGCCACAGGTTTTGGGTATTCATCCTGGTGGAATTTTTGTGAGCGCCCCCCCGGTAATAATTTTCTCCTAAAGGTGTGAGACCTATTTAGGTTTTTACGTCAAAGGATCAATATTTATGGGTTTACTTCTGATATGCGTCAACTGGTATAATTCATACTGACAAATGCTTCTTATTTTATTTTCTTAATACATATATATAAATAATTATATATATATTTATCTATGATGCAGAAGCTTTACATGATACAATTTGTGAATGTTTTCTCTTTGTATTATAATAATGTGCAATCTTTCACCTAGTTACACCATTATAATTTCTAACATTTTGCCATCTTTCAAATTTTCTAATATACTTTTATTTATTAGGTATTCGTATATTTTATTGTGTTATTACTTTTACAAGTTTAGTTTATATATTTATAATTTTGATAAGGATATATATATAAACAAGTTTATCTAACAAAGAAAATGGGTTGCAACATGGAAAAGATGATTCCCTCTAAAGAGGAGAAAAGAACGATTTCACAGCGTTTGAAAGCGTGGGATGTAATCAAAGATGAACTCCCCATTATAAAAACTCCTGAAGGGAAAGCTCTACGTGAGGAGTTATTTGCTTCGATACATAAAAAAGATGAAAATATGATTTCTATGGACGAGATGCTAAAAGCTTTTATCGATAAGCTTCATTTGGATAATTTCACATCTCGTTTGAGGTTTGTGGTTAGGCGTTCCTTCAGTAAAGTTAAAAGTATCGTTGGAGATAAAAGTAACTCCGACAAAGCAAATTTTGATGAATTTTGTCTGATTATTTCTTACATCTACTTCCGTTTCGAACTGCGAATTATGCTTGACAATATTTTTATTGATGGTAAGGATGTCTTCACTTTTGATGAATTTTCGAGCGCAGTTCCAGGTTTAAAGGAGTGGGGGTTGAGGATTGGAAGTGCTTCAAGAATTTTCAAAGATATTGACAAGAAAAATAAAGAGTTTATAACTTTTGATCAATTTTCCTCATGGGGAGCTGGAAAGAAGCTGGCTTTAGAGAGTGAACAAGTCACGACTACATAAAATTAATAGTTATTTTTAGCAAGTTTATTAATATGTATCATTTTAAGGATTTGAAATATTATTACGCATTCATTTGTATGTTGATTAAATGCTCTGTAAATTTTGAATATATATATATATATATATATATATAAATATATATATATATATATATATAGTGAATATTTGTTGATGCATTCATACTTTTTTTTTAACCCATTAAATGCTTTGGATAAAAAAATATATTTTATTGAGTTTAAATGCATCAGGCAGTTAAACTGAAAATGTCTCATAAAGATTTTATAAAGCTGAAAAAAGTGTTATTAATTGATATTTAATTGAGCTGTATTTATGATCATTAGTCGTACCTTAAGTTACTAGCTTAATTTCATTTGTTGGATCTTAATTTTTTTTAATATTTTCTTTGAATATTATATCAGTCTTGTGATTTCTTATTTACTATGCTGTACAGAAATATATTTATTTATCTCTGTATACATTTTGTTTTAGATTATGAAGTTATCAGCGCAATTGCTTTACTGGATGCACAAAATACTAAAATAATCTGGTATGTATCTAGACTCACGAACTCTGTGCCAAAGTCCGCACAAGCATCTTAGAAAAGTCATGAGGGCGAATTCAAAGAACCTACCTCAAACCTGAATTATCGAGGGGAAACTTTATCGTATAGTAGTGTTTTTTTTTCAAGGACAAAGACGTATTAATTTTATGTAAGGCGCTTAGGAAGGATATAGAAAAGCCTTTTTTTTCATGAATTCTTTCTTCACATATGAAATGAATTGTTATCTGTTCACAAAGGTTAAGAACATATACAAAATCATAGTGACAAGGTCCTGAAGCCACTATTGAGTTCCACCTGTTTTTGTGCTATACAACTACTTTGAGCAGTTAATTCTAACGAGCTTGTTACCTGTTATCCCATTGTGTACAAGCCAAAGGCGACAAATGAAAATCAATTCATAATTATTTAAGTACAATTCGAATTTTGTAAGCTCTGAATTGATCTTTGACAAAACTATTGAATTTCATAGCAACTTGATCACTCTTGACAAGCTTGACTCCCAGGCTGTTTCAAAGAAACTATGCGCTGATAGGGATCCGGACCACTTTCAAAAGGTTACTTCTTGTAATACTTTCTTAACAATACATATTATGAAAATCATTCATATACAATTGTGATTTCATCATGCAATTTATCCGAAGTATCTGCGCTGTTGTCCCGATATATATTTTTTAGTTTCCGAGTTAATTTTCTTCTCTATGCTATTACTTCGATTCATGCTGAATAATTTTTCAAAGTTAATTTGATTTAATCACTTCGATCTTAAAAGTAATAATACAATTCACTACGCTTTAAAAGTTATTTGAGATCTCATGGTTTTTAAATTTAATAATAAAAAACACGAGTATTTTTATATATCAAAGGGGTATATGTATTTTATATGACCCTTTTTTTTAAAGTAATATATATATCGTCTGTGAATTGAAGCACATTTTTGAGTTATTTTCCGTAAGTCCATGACAATCCATACGATGAAAAGGGATCCAGAACAATTCCAAACTATTTCTTATTTATCCTCGTAAATATATAATTGCATTTGTATACAGACCGAATTTTTTATTTCCCATGCCATACCTATTTCATTAGACCGTATTTTTCTTTTTTTATATAGAACTCCATTTGAATTACCATTTTCTATTTATAAACTTCAAAATGAGCAAAGAAAATGGGATGAGAAATTGTATGATCATTGAATAAGTTCGTAAAGATAATTCATGATCATGCTATATGCTTGATTAGTTATGTTTCTCACTTTCAGTTTCAAAAGAAGCAACAAACATAAGAGCGTTATTTTTTAATCTAGAGGAAATGGAATGTTTTTATAAGGTAAATCTTTGCTAATAGAGTGTGGTGCCATTCTGGTAAACTGGTAGGTAAGATTCAGGGGTTAAAATTAACGGAAATACTTCTTGATTAAGAAAGTTTACTTTGGCATTGTTTAATTTTAAGGTGCACCCCTCAGAGGTGTATGTGGGAAAAGAAGTCATATACCTTTTTTCGGATAGTATGTTATCAGTTCACGACTCATTTTTCAAGCCTTTCCTTATCTAAGACCACTTGAAATTTTTGTATTAATGAGTTTAATAATCGAAGATTTAAAAACTAATCGAAAGAGAAGCTATCAACAATAGGCTAAAAGTTAGTTTTTAGCACTGAGAGTGATTTTTTCCTTTACATTACCATAAAAAATGTATACACTCTATTTTTTATTTTAATTAAAAATCTAAAATCTGAATTTTTATAAAGGCATATAAAAAATGTCGAATTGGAGTTTTATACTCTTTACTGTACGATTGTCAAACCTCTTAAACTATCGCTTTATAAAAGATTAATATTTCTGTTGTAAATGTCTGAGTTGATTTGTACACTTATTCTTTACATTTGTAAAGTAGTTAGTACGTTATTATTGCGTTAGCTACTTATATTTTTCTGAAATTAATTATGAATTTTCATTCAAATCATTTTAATTAAACTATTATTGTGGTTTCAAATGGGTTTTCTTTTTTTCCTTTCCAATAGCTCACTAAAATTCAGTTAGAATATGGGCAGCCTAGGTTACACACTACTCTACATTTTATATTTACACAAGTGCAGCTAGAAGTTTTGTTAAACTTATCTTTGAAAAGAAATCTTGATGTATCTATTTAATTTCTGTATACATTTGTCATGATAGATTTACCTAGTTTATGTTTTTTTATTCATTGTTCATTTTTTTCCCTTTTCCCTTTCCTATATGTAATCATAGTACACTTACCGATTATATTATTTTCGATGTCGAAATCATGGTGTCAGCGGTCAGAAACTTTTCCGCCTGGCTTTTAGTTTAAATCCTTTTTTTAAACTTTCTTTTAATATATTTACTGTTTCTAATGTTGTAACTGGAAGCACACTGTTTATAATGTTGGTGGGGTGGGTCCTTCTTCGCCGTGGGTTATGTTTTAATGTGGTTCAGAGTAAAATTTCATCCATTAACACCATCCGCATCGCAGAATCGTCTTGAGTTTCAGGAGAGGTACCGATGGCGCAATTATCAATAGGACTTCCCTAAGTATAATACTACCCCCCATTTTTTCTTTTATTTGTTTCATTTGGTGACTTTTTCATCCATGAAGTTCTTTTCACAGACACATCCACCGTAATTCAATCAATCGTCGGTAGGATCGCTCGATTGGTAGGAAGCGATAGGCAAGAGGACCCATCAAGCGATCGCTATCTCCATCTATTGATCGTTATCCTCATTAACTGTTACTTCCATTGTTTATTATCACCATTGACTGTTAATTCCATTGTTTGTTATCCCCATTAGCTGTTATTCTCATTGACTGTTACTTCCATTGTTTGTTATCCCCATTGACTGTTATTCCCATTACTAGCGTGTGTAGGACTGACAGACCGACCCATACATTGTGACATGCGCATCAAAAAGAAGGATCTCCGCAAGGGTCTTGCTCAGCTCCCGATAAACTACCCCGACCCTGCCCTCCAGCCTGGGGCTGAACCTGCCGAAGGTGGCCCGGCCGTCGAGCGGATTTGTCGCCGACTCGCCCACGGCGAGGCGGCCGTCCGCTCTGGCGCGCTGGCGGAGCTTCCGGCAGAGCTCGCTGAGCTCGCGGAAAAAGGGGATAAAATAGAAAAAACGGAGAAATCTGAAGAAGCTGCCGCCCTTTCTTGCCATCGCCTTCTCCACAACATCCCGCGCGCGCTCGACGACTTTCGCGCACGTGCGGCGGCGGCCGCACGCTCCGGGCGCGATCCCCTCTTCCCCCCTACGAGAGACACGGAGTACCGGACAATAATGACGTCGTGGTGTGAAGTTGAGTTGGACTTTTTAAAGCTTAGCCGGGGGGTTTTCTTTTGCTTATGGCATTCTGATAAGCCCCTGGTGCAGCTGGAGTGTGCGCGGCGGATTGCGCAGCTACTCCACACCATTCGTTCTCTGCGCTGTAAAAATCTATTCTACGGCGCTATTTTTCGCGTTTTATCGAGGGAGTGGCCGACGATTGATCGCTATCGCATGGATAAGTACTTGGCTCTGGTACGTATGCTTATCTTTGAATGGATCAGCCTCTTGAAGAATTTAGAAGAAAGCGAAGAAGAGAAAGATGAGGAAGTTGGTGGTAGTCTAGACGAAACTTCGCATGTTTCAAAAGTAGAAAAGATGGTTTTAACAGAAACACCCATGATAAAAGAAACATCCAAAGCCACTGCCTCAAAACCTGCAAAGAGGGAGCGGAATGACGAAGGGAATAAAAACACTTTTAGAAAGAAGAATCAATCCGTGGAGTCGGTTGGTAAAACCGCTCCACTCACAGCGATTGGGATTCCATTTCAATACTTAGAGCGTTTCTACTCCAATAGACGAGTACTCACGCAGGCCCTTCTGGAGTTTTTCTACATTTTCCAGGAGCAAATCTTTCCAAAAAGCACCAGCACAGGGCTGACAATGCATATCTGTGATATAGCCTTTGATGAGTTATCAAGAGCTTCTTTATCACAGGAACTCTTTATTACGCTATCCGCAGGGATTCCATTGTACGCTATGAGCCAAGGTAATTTTATTGAGAAGCGCGTTTTGGATAACTTCTTTCCCCCTTTGGCGGGAGGTGTATACACGAAACAACGGGAGGAACAACTATTTGAGAAGAAAAAACAATTCGTCAAGGCTAGCCACAAATCTAGCGCCAAGAAAAAAATAAATGCGAAAGAAATCACGAGAAAGCGGGGGGCTGTGGCTGAGGATGAATGGCGTCAGGAAGCGAGAAAGATTTCAGAGGAGGATACGAAGGTTGTTTTGTCCGAAATGGCGAAGTGTTGCCAACTTTATGCGACCTCCAGGGGTACGACTTACGCCGTTCGCACGATGTTCTCCGAAGCGGACCTGGTTCTTCGTCAGGCTGCCGATCCTGATTCCTACCAAAGCCTTTCCCCTTTCGCGCAGCGTCGTCGTTTGGAAAAGGAAATTGACGAGGTGAACGAAACGCGAGGGATGGTGAAGACGGAGCGCACAGCTGTTCATCAACTGAAGAAAAAGGAAAAGAAACAAGCCCTTCTCACAAAGGCTAAGTTGGTGAAGAGGAAGACCACAGGGGGTGACCGCAAGGGGAAAGAGGGTGGGCCTGAAAACGATATCTTGGAGGAAGGATTGAAAAAGAAAAAGAAGGTGTTGCGTAACACAAAGCGGAAGAAGAATTACCAACTGACCAAAGATGATCTTTACGGCGACCACGATGACGATAACACGCGTGAGTAATTTATTGGTTATGTTTTAAAGGGCTGAAGGGATGCAAAAGCTATCTCTTGATAAGGTGTGCTAGCACTGATTAAATAATGAATTGATAATACTATGCGAGTAATGAATGATTTTTATAAATTCTAAGTATAGAGTTTCGCTCATTCCATAACATCTGAATAAATCGTTGTAGCCATTAGAAGCTTTTACTTTAACAAGTTTAGTGACTTTTTGCTTTGTGTAACTATCTTTTTTATCTTTTTGAAGTCTGAACATCTTCTTGAGTATTTTTTATTACACCATTTTTTAAATTCTTTCCCCTATCTCTACATGTATATTTTTAGGAAGAGGTGTATAAAATTACGAAGTTTATTTTATTAAAAATGAATTTTTAGGATTTCATATTATCCACACTAAACAATGGTTTTTATCAATACTTATCTAGTAGTTTATTTGTCATATAGAAACCATCAGTTCGGTTGAACTGTTGTTAGGGGCTTCTATACTCCCTTTAAGCGTTTGATTTACTTCTAAAAAACGCTAATATTAATAATACCTCACCAAACGAAACGAATTGTTTACCAGTAGAAAGTCAAAAGGGCTTCAGTCAGGATGAATGCAGACGATTGAATATTAAAGCTGAAAGTTGTTAATGTATGGACCGAGATCACCACTTTAACGCATTTCTACAGTGATGTTTTAGCTGAACACTTTATTGTTGTTGACATTACTGGCAATGAAGGATACGTCGATAGCAATGAGATATCATGACATGATAAGAAATTTAATTTTTCTCATTGAAAAATAAAAATAAAAGTGTGATTTGTAAAAGATTTTCCTTTAATAGAACTTCATACGACATAATGATTGGCTGAAGAGGGAAATTGCTATATTCATTTGTTTCTACCGGTTAGAGGTGTAGATGCTATTGAATTAATACTAAGGTGAATAGAAGAGAAGAGTAAATACTTTGCTAAACTGTCAGTAAGCCTGAAACACCTTTTTTTCGATTCTTCTTCGTTTAATTTACTCACATGCCTTCTGGAATATCTATTTGAAAAAATAGCATTGACCTTAAGTGGTTTTGACGGGTTGATACGTACATAAATTTTTATTTTTTTCACCAAAATAAAAAAGGTAGCATCTTTAGTATGCGCCTGTTTTCAAAAGCAGTTATTACCCTTCTTCCAAGTTTTTGACGATCATTTTTTCATGGAAAACAAGCGGTAATTCACCAGTAAGGATATTCATTTTTTTTATGGATACATTTTTTTAATGTGCTTATTTATTATTTGTTGTGGGGCGTTAGCCTTGAATTTTTTAAATCGAAAAAGAGGGGCCTAACAATTGAAGAATAAAAATAAATTAATGTGTAACAATTTTTTATCAAGTTTTTTGATCATAACTAACGTTCTTCTGTTGCGAGAATATTCAAAATAGCATAAGAGCGGTGCAGAGTCGCAAACGATTTTACTAATCGAGTATGCTTGCCATTTTATTCTCTTTTTTCGATTAGAGATTGAAATATTAACACACTTTTGTCATGTGAGATTTAAGGAGTTAGATCAATTGAGGAGGATGAAGAAAAATAAATGAACAATCCCTTTTTTTCCTTACTCACATACTTCTACGAACTTGAAGTAAATAGAAAGAGGATTTTCATGAAATTCTTCTTTTTTGAGCGAAACGAAAAGTAATAATTTTTTATTTTCTACTTTAGTATCCGCAATATGCCAGTGATAACCACTCCTTTCGTTCTGGAGCTTCACCCGCATGAAGAGTTTTTCATCTCAAGACCTGTTGATAATTCAGCTCAAATCACTACCAATAACGATTTTTCATCTATATTAAACAGTATTATTATCACGGAGGAGCTTCCAGAAAGCTTTTCAGATGGCTTGAAGCCAGGAAAAGCAAAACCACAGAAGCAATCTAAGCTAAATGCAGCTTCTGTGCGCATTTCTTTAGTGGTCAATATGCATCCTCGCCATTCAGATATGGCAGACATTTCAACTTCTTCTAACATTGAAAATTCTAAAAACAAATCTCATAGCATTTCGTTCACTTTAGCGACTTATCTCTTCAAACCCCATTTGGAAGAGGGTGAATTGAAATCAAAGGCTGCTAAAGACGAGAAGAATCCCAAAACGCTTTATCAGGAGGTTAGCGCAGATGGAAGTGTTGTTAATGGATCATCTTTAGCGTTGGATCTTTATCACCTAACGTTAAAAAAAAAGCTTTTGTTTAACTCTGATGATACTCACGTGCGTTCGTTTAAAGTACTGGCCTCTGCCATAGAGGGCATGGAAGACGGAAATTATGAAAATAGTGAAATAAATAGCGAGAAACGTTTGAAATCCTATCGCGGACCGAGGAGGTTTGTCGTTCGTTTAATGGGCATTCAACAAACTGTGCTGACGAATGCACAAGCAACCCTTTTTTCTTCTTAGATTTATAAATTCCTGTAGAAGTAAAAAGTTCTTTCATACTAGCACATCTGTTTATCTATACATATGTGTTTTTATTATTCATGATATATGTGTGTGAGGGAAAGAAGACTTGTGTAAGAATCATTGCCAAGATTAATGGAAAATCTTCATGTGAATTAAAAAAAAGAAAAGTATATTATCTTGTTATGATTACTGTTTAACCCCCCTCAAATAATAATAATTTGCATGCATTTCGATTAACAAATAGATATTGATAATAATAATAAAAGTGCATAAATAGTAAAAAATGAACACCATGATATACCATAAACCATCCTCCATAATGTGATGTTAACTTATGTAGCGGCATTCTAATACTATTTTTGAGCTTCATTTTCATATTGTAACACAGGTCAGCCACCATACATAGGAAAGGCTTTTCTTTCGCAGTTATTGACGTTACTGTGTATACTGCTTTTTTCCTACCCATAACACGTATTATTGACACAGGTGGATCGGCGTAGTTCGCTCATCAATGCGATGCTTTCTGTCGCTCAGACGCTACGGCGCCTATTAGAGGCCGAGGGCGCGATCATTCATCCTTCGTTAAGGGCCCTTCCCCTTTCCAAGATGGGGGGTGGGATGGGGATGATTGCGAGTGAGCGAATCGAATCAACCACGACGCTTGCGATTTTACCATCGATGAGCCTGTTAACTATTCAAAAGGCGCGATGGCATCTTGCCCTTGCCGAGATCGCTTTGCAGGGGTTCACTAAGCATACGAAGGAGAGTGTGAGTAGTTTGCGAAGAGAGCAGAGACAGGGTTTTACCGCGATGCAGTCGAATTTTTTTCACATGATCGACAATAAAGAGGATGAGGAATCTAATGTTAGTTCTAAATGTCTTGATGAATCTTATTTTCAAGATCTTGTGCAAGAAACCATGGATAATTTGAAGGAGCAACTCAGCCCCACGGAAACGATGACGAGCTATATCGTGCTGATGGCATCGCTCTACCGAAATGTTAACAGTAAAAATACCATAGTGGGTACGACTCTAAAATTTAAGGAGGAAACTAATACAATAAATTCAGAAAGATGCAATGATGATTCCTCAGTAGATAATAGCAAGAATAATTCTATATCTACTCCTAGATTTTGCAATACTAGCGAAAATGCGTGGATGCGAGACTGGATGAATGTTCTGCCTGGTGCCTATGATAACCTCCTCGAGCTTTCCAACGGATTTGATACGAGGTTGAATACGACCGATAATTATTTACAGGGGTTTAATAAATTATCCTCAGAAAAATCAGATTTGCAAATCAGTCCTCTGTGGTTTGCACGGCATCGCGCGAAGGTTGCATATGAACAGGCTGAATTTGTTAAGCGATACCAGCACTGCCTTGACGTCTTACTCTGCCTAAAAGAGCTCCCAATCGGTGTTAATGAGGAGTATAATGAGGCATTTTTAACAAGAGATAATCATAATCATTATAGTAATAATTGTAAAGGGAAATTGTTTGCCTTCGCACAGAAGGGCGTTTCCTGCACCTTAGATCAATTTTTATGGGCTTTTAACACTCTTATGAGCCGTGGGTTTGCCTTTGAGGAGGAGGTGTGGGTTATGATGCCATGGGTGGATTACTTCAACTACGCTCTACACGCTAATTGCACAATGTATGCCCAGCGTTGCAAACACCATAAAATAAATAATACTAATGATAACGATCCCGAATGCGAATTTAGTATTAGTAGTGACGATGAAATCGTTTCCAACCCTTCGGATTCGTCCGATTGCTTAAAAAAAGAAGGGTCGGTAGTGCGCTCCTCTCCAACGAAGGGGTGGGAGTACGTTTTTCAGGCAACATCTTCAATAGAAGCAGGGGAACAGGTTTGTATTTCCTACGGATCTTATTCTGATTTTGAATGCCTCTTATGGTATGGCTTTATTCAACGCCCGTATTTACTTCCAACCTCTGTGTTACCTTCCGAACCTCCGCGCGATTTTCAGTCGTTTTTTTTATTTCCAAATACCCGAACTGCACAAATTTTCTTAAGGAAAATGGGTGTAAATGTTGAGGAGTTATCTCATCTACATGCGGCTATACCTCGTCTTCAGGAAGAATGCTTCCGCCAGACTACTTTTGAAGGATTCTGGAAACATCACATGGCGTTTTCCACTTCTGATAATAAACTTGAAGGAAAGTTCGAATACAAGAAATGGAAGTCTGCGCTTCAAAAGGCATTTGCATTTGTTTTCTCTCCCTTCCAAGATGCTGAAGGCGGGTATTTAGATCCTCACAAGGGCGCTACGTGGATAAATGAGCTCGTGAATCATTATCTCAATACTCCTCCCATTTCAAACATTTTAGCCTTTGGAAACCTTTCTGATAAAATTTCAATCTTTAAGGATAAAATTACGTATTTGGATAAGGGGTGCCGTTGTTTTGCCGAATACTTGCAGTTCTTTCTTCGTGGGCAAATTTCTAATAGCTTACGAATCATTAATACTGCTAGTTCTCAGAAGTGTACGCTAGGAGTGTTTGGGGCTTCTTTTGCGATGCAAGAATGGATTCAATGCATCGCTCGAGAATGCCGGAATCAGCTTAAAAGTAAGAAAAAAAAATTCCACTCTCGGAGCGAAGAATTATTATTATTATTGTTGCCTTCCTTACAGGATGCTAAGTTATTTGTTCTGCGCGCAATCGCATGGATGGAGCTTTACTCAAATTATTCCAGTTATGAACACTACTTTCAAGCCGAAGGTTCAACAGTAAATACTAAGGAGAGCTTTACCACCGTATATATGAGCCATATATCCTCAGATAATGAGGGTAGGGTTTTTTTTTCAGTGGAATCCATGTCTCTAAGGGCTTCTTTAGATGCATGGCTTTTATTGCAATATCTTGCGCTGGAGGCTAACGATGTTGAACTTCTTTCATATTTACACTTTGAGAGTGATTAGGAGTGAGGATAAAATGGGATATGTATAGGCAATATTTACCATTTCCGATTTCTCATGATCGAATTTCCCGTGACACGTGAATCGTTTATAAGGGTCTGAATATTACTCCTCTTTCTTGTTACTTTGCAAGTGTGCTGTGGATATGACTGTATGAGATTACATTACATTGCCTTTTCTTTTCTGAATTATGAGCTTTGTGGACTTTTCTTTGTTATACTTAAAAATGTTTCATCGATTCCATAGTTCTCTAGGTGTACTGTTATCTTTTCATCTTTTCCCGTGCTTCGTCTTCCTTTTAAATATTTTCCTTTTGATGCTTATGTGTAAAAGCAATAACTAGTAACTCTAGTCACGTTTAAAACCATAGCACCCTAAGCTTAAAAGGTAAAATTGCATCCTTGAATTTCTGTTATATCTTTTTTTTTAGTTTGACTTCTACATCGATTTCCTTTTTTTTTTCGGTGTGCTTAAAGTAGCTGCTTCGTTTCCCTTCATTTTTTAAACTCGCCTGGTCGACTACGGGAATTCTATTTTCTTCCACCATGTGGGTCTCAAAAACGGTCTCTACCTTAGCCTCTGGAGGTTCCCTGACGAGGCTCCCGCCGTGTCGCGAGACGTTCCGCTTTTCCCGTTTTATGAGCCTTCGCGTCGTGCCGCCCCTGGCTTTGCTCGGGACCCCCTCCCCCTCTTTTACAAGACGCTTCCAAAGCACGCGGGTGATGAACAGCACAGGGGACCCTGAGCCTTCCTTGTGTCACCCTTCCCCGTCTTCGTCCTCTTCGACATCCCCGATGCAACCTCTCTATAAGTCGTCACACCGCGGGCGTGGCGAGGTCGCGATGCCGAGGCCGCAATCGCCTGCCCAACCTTTCATCAAGCCCCCTGCGGGGCGGGGGATGCTCCCGACGCGTTCCTCCTGCGCAGAGGACGTCGGACCCGTCCCTGACCGCCCCCTCACCCCTCTCCAGAAAAGACAGCTCCTTTTCAAGGATAAGGCGGCCTTCGTGCTCACCCCACAGGCCCTTCGGCGTTTGAAGTATTTAATCTCACAATATCATCGGCAACATCCTGGCAAGGGCTCGAAGGAGGCAGAGGAGGGGGAGAGTTGTGGTGGCTCCGAGAAAGCGCCCTCTGGGATTCGGATCGGTGTGCGTCGTCGTGGATGTAGCGGGTATAGCTATACCGTAAATTACTACTTTGACAGCGAGGATCATTCTCATAATCGTACGGAGGGGGAAGGTAAGAAAGCGTCGGATTCGTTAACAGCGGCAGGTTTGGGAAGAATGAAGGGAGGGGCACGTAATGGAGGACTTTGTGATGTCACCGTCGAGCAGGATGGCGTAAAAGTTGTGGTTGATGGCAATGCGTTGTTTTATGTTCTCGGTACGGAGATGGATTACGTCGTTCGTAATGTCGAGGAAAAATTCACGTTTAAGAATCCTAATCAAAAACATAGTTGTGGGTGTGAGGAAAGCTTTATGCCATTCGGCGAGGAAGACCTCAACGACGATTGATTGATGAAAAAAGGGAAGAGGTAGCGAGTTGGATAATTATAGAAAAGCGTTATGGTGAAAGGAAAAGTAAGCAAGGAAGGCGTAGATCTTCTGAGATATGATTATTATATATATTATTTGTAGACAAAGTCTATATACAAATGTATATAAACTCTTTTTTATTTAAGCACATTTGTTTTTTATTTGTGATGTCTATATCGTTTCCATATTTATGGAAGCAACCTAGAACATATTATAGACTCCATCGGTTTGAGGCTTTCAAAAAAACAAACAACGTATAACATCGACTTCATTTGTTGCAGGCGGAAACACTTTACTACCATTGATTGATTCTATTTTTCAATACAACCTTTTCATGTTTATTTAACAAGTTCACAATGGATGATGTCAACACCCCACAGGGTTTATTGTTATAGAATATTCTGAAAGAGAGGGGGGGGGAGAAACCAGATTGCTTCGATTACTTTTTTTAATAATCTTGAATAATTTTGTTCATATTCCCGAGCTCCGATCGAATTATTATACCTTTCGAGTTCCCAATCAACGCGTTGCTACTCTTCCCCAATCTTCAGATGTGCTTTTCACCTCTTTTTTTTTACCAGGAAAGATTCTAGGATTTTTCCTTCTTTTTTTGTCTAAAGCGAAGCTTTATTCTTGACTCTCCTGTGGAGGTCGTATCACACATGATGTAATGTTCTTCTGATGCTTACCAATAGTGAAAAAATTTCACAACCTTATCTTTTTATCTAAAGAAAACACGCGAATAAAGATTTCTTTATTATTAACTATATAAAGAACTTTTTTTTAAATGAATTCAGTTATAAAAAAGTACCTATACTGTGCTCTAGAATCTTACATTGTAATAATTTCCACTCTATGGGGATGAATACGTATCTTTTTTTTTCAAACCTTTTTTCCCTCTGTGATGCTTGTTCTTCAAGGTATATATGCAACATAAGAACAATACTTAAAGGCACATCATAAAAAATCATCTTTTTTTTTTGTATAAGTAACCTTTCAGAATTCATTCACAAAGTAGGATGTAATCAATAGGCTATTTTTCGGTCGTTTACTCTTCAAAGAAGTTACTTGCGTTCTTGGGATTATCCTTATTACATTTCTCACCTGAGTAGTGTGGAATTCATGTGGAGACAGATGCGCATTTTGATTGAATTTTGTTACTTCTGAAAAAGCTTACATTTTTATCACTTGACTGAGCTTATGGATGATGAGTTATATTTCATTGTGGATTGATTAGTTGCATTCAACGGGATACGTACAAACTGGGGCATTTCTGTGGATTTCAATATAAAGATTCACGGAGACGAATCAGCTATGAATAATATTATATACCGAGGCCATTCGTTTTTCCTTTTACCCTTTATGCCGAACAGCTAACATCTGCATTAGGATTTCCACAAAACAAGGAGGAAAGAGGGGAAGGATTCTTGCTTTAAGAACACATAGGGTAAAAAAGAGGGAGGCATCCCTTCTCAAATGAAGCACATTTTATTGTCAGTCTTGGCCACTTTCCTTCCATTGATTGTTTTAATTCATTTTACTACTTTTCTGTTTCTGAGACTTCATTTTATGTATTTGCTTATTGACAAGGTTCTTGTAACCTATATATTTAGTCTGGAAGACATGGATGATGGATCAAACCTATTTTTATTCTTTAACTATACATAGGGGTATTTTTGGCATCTATTTGCTCGTACTGTGTGGTGTTTCCCATAGACCACGCACTTATCTATTATTCTCCGTTGCATATACATTTCCATTTTTTAAATTTAAACCCTTTTAATAGTGTGTATGGAATCGCCAAGCTTTCATTCTTGAAAAAATACAAGTGAAACAAAAAAGCTATTCCAAGTCCATCGTTACATTTAACATCGCCATACCTCCCCCCCCCCCCTCCTTTCAAAAGAATGGCAGCCGCGGGATCCCGTCAGTTCATCCCGGGCGCCCGTGCCCAGCAGCCGTACCTCAACCGTTTCACCCAGTTTTTCTTTACCGAACTCAACAGGGGCTTTTCCTCGCCGTGGGTTTTCTTCTCCTCGGGGGTCTTCTTCTTTTACTTCACCTGGCGTGTAACAGAGCGTTACATCGAGGACTGTCACAAGGTGGGCTCCCGTACCTGTGCCAGCCCCACCCATCGCATCCCTATGGCAGAGAGCCACAACCTCCTTTGGGGCTTCCAAGGCCACAACACCCCCCTCGACAAGGCGATTCTCGAAGAACGGATGCCCGATACTAGTCGGTACTCCGCCTGCGGCGATTCCGCCGCGCGGGAGGAGGAGTTACGGCGGCCCATTCTCATTCATAGCGAGCCGAGTGAGCTGAGCACGCGCCCTTCACCGCGGAATCCCACGGGAGCGGTGGATTTGGTTTGTTTGGAGCTTTCCGAGTACGATCCGCAGCTTCACGATGATGTGTATTACCGAAGCTTACACTACGTCGCGAGGGAGAAGGGTGACTCCGCATCTAGCGAGGGAGAAAGCGGAACATTAGAAACAACTAAACCAACAACAACAGCGAATAATCCTGAACAGGAGAGGTTATCATCTTTGTCTTTTGCTCATAACGACCACCTGAACTTCATGCCTGGGGGCGATGGAGGAGTAATTCACGGCTTGACGAAGTGCAAAGGGGTAACCACGCTCAACAACTGCGTTCCACTTGGCAAACACCTTGAGACTGAGGTCTCGAGGAAACTTCTGCTGAGTTTAGCCCCTGTTCACGTCTTACGGGACGTGTCGAAGGTACTTTTGCCCGTGCGCTTTACCAATGTTAAGGAGGTTCCAGTAGAGACTTTGGTGATAGGTCTCCATAGCAGCGAGATGCCGCGATGGCTTAGCAACACCTTTCCTAACTTTAATGTGAATGTGATTGAGGCAGATGGAACCTTAGTGCGTATTTGCCACCGTTTTTTTGGATTTCGTGAGTCAAACAACCTTTCTTTGCGCATAGGGAACCCTATTGATTACTTACGCAGTCTGGCAGCTAATTTAGTGGTAGATAATAGCGGAGGTAGTGGTAAGGTTAGAAAACGTTATGATCTCGTGCTGATCGACGCAATTGACGGGGCTGGACAGCTGAGCACGCAATTTGGCCACCTCGAGGCGCTCAACAACCTCCGAAACTGCATGAGCAGGAATGGATGTGTAGCTATTACGTTACCGAATAAAAATTCGTATTTTCTTTACAATATGGTTCAAAATTGGCGTATGGCGTTTGCCGGTAGGCCTGTAGTGTTGATCCATTGCTACACCGCACCCTACACGATTCTAATGACGTTCCAGGATGATGCGGGTCGCGGGAAGGCAAATATCGGCAGCATTGCAAACGTACAAGAGTTCCAGGATTTGCTCCGCGCACATCTTAGGCACTACGGGCAGGATCGTGTACAGTTCGACTTCACAAATGAGATCCACGAGGATAACTTTAAAGTGTTGATCCCCGGGGAGCGGTATGAAAGGGCTGCATTTTTACCTCATGGGCATCCGGAACTTGTGCAACCGGTGGGTGGAGGAGAAAAGAGTCCGTTGGAGGGATGGAACGCGTGGTTTCGAAGGGCTACAGGGAAGTTTATCACCCCAGGCCAGCTGGCGGACATGCGTGTCAATGATATTCTCAATCGATAGGCGCAGAGCCTTTCTCTTCCCCCTGTTTCATCTTTGCCCATGCGCACAACTGCACCTTCAAACGTTTGAGGTATTGAATATACTGTACTACTTTAGTACTTCCATAGATTTAGTTGATCTTGTAACGAAGTTCGATGACATTCGATATGGTGATGATATTCTCGTCTACCATTTCGCATCTGTTTACCTGTATTTCAACACTTTTTGTCATCTTACCAATCCTTCTCTATGCTATGTGTGAGGTTCAGGGTTTATGAGGATGGTGGCGATTGTTATGATTTTAATTGCCATTTTGATTTTTCTCCTAAAGTGGTGTCTTGCTCTGAGGAGTATTCACCTTTTAGGATACTCTTGCTTTTCCTTGTTTGTGTGCATTATCGAGACATTTTGCTGTTCCTTCCCGCGCAAAGTAGGGTTTTGACCATTTTTTGCTAAAGGTTAGTTGAATGACTAACTTTTTCGTAGTGCGGCATCTTCTCTGAAAATTGTGTATCTTTATCTGGTTCGCCTCTTTTTTCGGTGGTGACCTGGTGAGTTTCGCGGTATCGAGTGCTCTGCATTCCGAGCAGCTAGATAATTCGCGTACGACCTTCCCTACAGACGACGACGATCACACATCTTGGCCCCCTTTTTTTTTCTATTCAGGTACTTCCCCGAGTGTCGTTTTCAAAAATTTCTCTTTGAGTCCTTCCGGGGAGGGTCACAGTCACCTCACTTTTTTTAGTCTTGAGGTCGACCTGGCCACATCGGTTCTCTCTTATCTGGGAGTACACCTCCTATGCGAGGGCACAAAGCTGCATTCCGCATTAGCGGAGCAAACCCTACTCAGCGATGGTACTTCATGCAGGAGGTTCGCTTCCTGTTCCTGTAGCGTGGGCTTGACGGTGTTGATTCCAACTTGGAGTACCCGTGTACCACAGAAGGAGGGGCACCTCTTCGGTTTGTTGCGTTGTGAACTTTGGGATGCCCTCACGAAGGGCCTGGGCGGGGCTTCTGACATCCCACACCCCGTGATCCTCCCCATCGCCCTCCACACCCAGGAGGCGATCGGCCACGGGCTGCGCGAGGCGGCGGGTGCTGACGGTCGTGGAGTAGATCCACAGGATGGCCCAGGATCACCTCGCCTTGTGTAAGTCGCACAGCCCCGCCGACTCCGCCCGTGTGGGGCTCGAGGCGGTGTCGATCGGCTTTTGCGAGGTCGCCGCCCCCTCCCCGCACGCGGGCCGCGGGGGAGGGTGGGAAGTCCCTTAGGACGGCTCACGGGCTACGGCGGCACAGCGCCTCCAGCGCCAGTCCGAGCCTCCGCTTCGACCTCCGCCCAACGACCCGTGTCATTTGAAAC